TTTGATTATTCTTGACCCAAAAAGCGCAGCTGTACGGATCACATTATACAACAACAACAACAAAGACAAGCAGGAGGATCCTGAGGGCCACGATTTCGAGGAAACTGTCTCGCTATTTGTCTTCTCCAAGCATATTATCGTCTAGGCGAAACATCTTAACGTCAAACCCTGTCCGACGACCCATGTTCCTGTTCTTTGACTCGACCATGTATGTACGTAATTAGGCCATCATCTAGCTAGCTAATCACTCTAGTTAAGTACTAATCAATTTATCTTATTCAAAAAACCCACCACGTAATTAGGCCATCACATTGGTATTAGGGTTTCCAACTATTTTCTTCTGTTCATATTACGCTAGCTGTATCCATGATATATATATATATATTAGTAATTAGTTGTTTCTTCTTCTGTGGTCCTTGCATGCGATTTCTTTATTTATATTATAGTTTCTGGCCCTCTTTATCCGTTGATTCGTCGGCCTCGGAAGCTGCCTCTGATCGACAGCAAACAACTGTTCAATTAGATTATTTTGACGTGATTGCACAGGCGGCAGGGGTTTTTGGTTTTTTTCTAATAATGCGACGTGATTGCACAGGCCAGCTAGGGCTTCTTGCCTTTTTTTTTTTTTTTCAGGCATGCATGCATGTAGCCATGTAGGGTGGAATCTCTGCAGTTTGACTGCTTTTGCTATCTTTTTTCTTCTGATTTTTTTTTTTAAATGGAAGTTGATGTGAAACAAGACTCCAAGTCTCCAACATTTGACCCTCCCCATCCTTCAAAGATGAGACTCCCATTTGACTCTTCGATTTTCATGGACATTATGGCTCCCATCTGGACGAGATACAGATACGCATTCTGCATAAGACCATCCCCATCCTCCAAAGATGACAACTACAACGGGAGTATGAGACCAAGTTGTTCTGTGATATGATATTAGACTCGGTTTGTCGTTGAGGTCACGTGTTCAAATTATTATGATCTCAATATTACTCATTGACTTAAGAATATGGTATGACACACCAGTTCAAATTTAAAGCCTATGAATTGGTTTGAAAGGGCATGTAAAGAAGTGGGTAAAATTCATACATGAATCTCTCTCAACGATTTGAATTATTGAGACCAGTTGCTTAATTATGACAATATTATCATCATAGCTCTTTTAAGGATATGTGAAACAATATTTTAAGTAGAATGCAAAAAAAGCACGCTTCCACTTACGCTTAGACAGTAAGCAATACTAAGACAACTCGGCTAGGCATTTTGTGGCGAGTTAGGCGTCTAAAATATGGTGGCGGAGTAAGGAGACACTTAAAAATCATCCAGCAAAGGGAGATGATCAAGATCAAATGAAGAATGGCACGCTACAAAACAAACGGCCACTAGTGGCGACAATTAGAGAAGGCCGTTGAAATGCGTCACTAAAAGTCACTTTCATCAACAATAATTTTTTTGTCATCAGTAATGTTTCGTCAAATAATACCTATTTGTGACCGTTTATAATCTGTCGATGAACACGTGAATCCTCGTAACTAAGTCCAGCTTTTCTGGGATATTGTGTACATAATAATTATTTCTGATTAATAAACTCGTTTCATCAATAATGATATGCACTACTGACAAACAAATTATAAAAAATAAAACATAGCAAAACAATTTCATCTTTTAAGGTATGTAATGAAAGTATTATGTGACAAACAGCATATCATGGTGAAAAGATTTTGTTAATCATTTACTGATTTGGGACGAGCTTAATTATCCTCACTCTTTAGTCCTTAGCATAGATAAAGCACTCCTCACTTAAGCCTACTTTCTGAAGGCAACTAATGACGTGTAGTCAACATTTGTAATGAATAGAATCTTGTCGTCAGTAATAACATATTATTGGCCCCGAAAATTTATTTGTAACGACAAAGCTCTCTTCCTAATATTATTAATTTGTTGAGATATGAATGAATTATTCTTCATTTTTCTCACATTTTTTTCATTTTCTTTTGGTCATACATTTTACAATGTATCAAAAATACTTTTATCAAATTCAATTATTAAAACTAAGAACCATTATTTTGAAAAAGTCATGTACAAGTATATGGCAAAGGCTAGCGTACATCCAGGCGTACGCTAGCCTACCGTACGTCCCATTGAGTTTTGCTATTTAGACACAGAATTAATCGGAGTTTGGGACATGATACTATACCCTAACCCCTAATGGGTGAATCCCAGTCCCCAATTCACTAACCCAAAGCATGAGATTAGTTTAATCTTAAAAATGAAAATCAACGATTCTGATTCGTCGAAATTTTCATTAGTTTTCATTTTAAGATTAAACGAACCTCATGGTTTGGGTTAGAAAATTAGGGACTGGGGTTCACCCATTAGAGGTTAGGGTATAGTATCATGCCCCAAACTCCGATTAATTCATGATCTATATAGCAAAACTCAATGGGGCGTACGCTAGGTTAGCGTACGCCCGGGCGTACGCTAGCCTGAACCATATATATACATATATATATATATATATATATATATATATATATATATATATATGCATCTGGTACAATTCTCAAACCCTTAAAGATTAAAATCTAGGCCTTAGTTCTATAAATCTCATACACTAAGATCAATTTAATTAGGAACAAAAATCAACTGTCATGATTCGTCATAATATATGCAACAAATTACATGCAAAATCTTATGGGTTATGCTCAATGATTTAGATAACTAAGACCGAGGGTTCACTCATCAAAGGTTAGAGTATAGTATGATGCCCAAAAATCCGATTAATTTGAGATCTATATAACATTTTCCTACTCATGTTATATCGTACCCTATATTTTATCCAAATTACGATAGAAATATATATATACTAACCCCTAATCCAACTACTATTTCTAACCCCTCACACTACTTGCCAAATATAATAACTCACCACAATTATACTAATAAAGTAATAAGGAAAATTTTTACATCCAACCTTGGTTGGAGCTTCTTCCTTCAACCAGCCACATGGCATTTTATTATTGGTGGCTTCTGTATCCTTTTTTTTAACGTTATTGTTTTCTTTCCTCTATTTAACAAACCAAAACAAAAAAAATTGAAAATCAAACCGAATTTGTCAAACAAAATTTATTTTTAGATAACCCAAGCTTCAAGCAGATGACGGAATTAAAGTATAATCACAAAGACACAAACCCCTCACAAACACATAATTATAATAATAATTGACTAAAATCATAATGCATCATAACGTCAGTTTATTATACAACCATAAATAAAATTCCTAATGAGAACCATTCGCCCAAAAGTTGACTTTGTGCCAATTCGAACATGGAGTAGCCTCCTGCTCAGGCAACTTGATCAAATTGTTGTTGTCTTTTGTTTCCTTTGCGAGTTGACCTACCTGAGTGAGTATAAATGAAGTATTAGGAAGGACAGAGCTGCAGCACAAACAATTAATGTGGCATTGAAAGTATGTGTTTTATAATAGGATTATAGGTATAATATGCCTCTTTACTATGCAGTTTTATTAAACATGTCTCTCTATTATTTTTTACATCAAACATGCCCCTATACTTTAAAAAAATTATCAAAAAAATGCCCTTATGTAAAAATTTCCATTAAAAAAATGGTCAACCACAGTGGAACCGAGATTCACACGACCCGACATCGGAAAAATTGGGGTTGAAATGTAAGTTTTTCTTCCTCATTTATCTCTCCAGGTCTAGTTAAAGTAAAATTATTAGAGGTATTTGGCTATACAAAAGAAACAAAACAATTCTAAAGTGAAATTATTAGGAATATTTTAGACATAGGTGTCGCCCAAACCAAGGTTCGACCATGATTGATGGTTTTTGGATGCAAATTTTAATAAAAGGGCATGTTTGATCATTTTTACAAAGTATAAGAGTATGTTTCATGTAAAAAATAGTAGAGGGACATGTTTGATAAAACTACATAGTAGAGGGGCATATTATACCTATAACCCTTCATAATATTATAAGCGACGGTTGATACTGTATTTGATATGAATCGCAATTGCTCGTAATAATGATTATGTAGTGAGTGCATTAAATGCACCCAAAAAAGTGGGTACACTCAATACACCACTATATATAAGATATATACTAACCCCTAATCCAACTACTATTACCAACCCCTCCCACTCCACTTGTCAAACAATAATAACTTACCACAATTATACTAATAATCACAAGAGTGAATTCTATTGTCACATTAGGTGACAAAACACCTGATCTTGGTTTATTCACGTCATATTTCTTGTATTCGCGTCGTATTTGTTTCATTCACGTCATATTAGCGTTATTCACGTAAGAGTGTTGATTATTCACGCAACCAATATTGTTAGGTCACGCAACCTGATGTTCATTCACGCATATTGTTGATTATTCGCGCCATTGTAAAATAAAATTTCAAACTTTGAAATATATCAAAATGAATGTCATTGTGTAGATTATGATCAATGCATCATTTTTTACAGTTTAATTGATAATCCAAATTTAATTCCATAAAATATAGCCAATACAAATTATTAGGAGCGAAAAGTCTGAATTTCCATTTACGTGAAAAAACTTACATTCTTCAATAAATCACTATAATATTACGTGAATAAGCATAAAATGGCATAAATGAGCTGGCTTTAGGTGTTTAGTCATCTATCGTGATAAGAGATGTTTTCCTAATCAAACCTCTTAACCCGCCCAAACACATAATAATAATAATAATAATAATAATAATAATAATAATAATAATAATAATAATAATAGACCTCCTGGTCTTGCAACTTGATCAAATTGTTGTTGTTTTTTTGTTTGCCCAGCCATAATGGGGAAAACTGAAAACACGTTGAGAGTTGACCTAACCTGAATGAGTATAAAATGACTTTGCGCCAAATAAAATGACCTACGGGGAGAACATGGTGGGTACAGAAGTATTAGAAAGGACAGAGCTGCTGCAAGGCACAAACAAGCAATTAACTGAAGATCATGGTGAGCAGCAGCAGCGATATCGAGTTGATCGAAGCCCAGGGTCGCATCTGGGGCTACGCCTACACCTACATTATCAACAAGTGTTTGAAATGTGCGATCCAGCTCGGCATCCCTGACGTCATCCACCGTCACTCCCCGGGACCCACCTCCCTCCCCGCCCTGCTCGCCGCCCTCCAACTCCACCCATCCAAGCACGACGCCGTCCGCCGCCTCCTCCGCCTCCTCGTCCACGCCGGCTTCTTCAAACTCGAACAAGAAGAAAAAGAGTGTAATTACTCTCTCACCCCTGCCTCCGAGCTCCTCCTCCTCTTCCCCGACAAGGAAGGGGCCGATCCGGCAACTAGACAACCGCCGGCCCATCTGTTCCTCGGGCTCGACAGCGGCGACGACGCATTCGGTGTCTGGAGCTCTCTGAGCACGTGGTTCCGGCGCAGCGACGGGGCGGCGGCGGCGGAGGCCATCCTGGGCATGTCGTTTTGGGACGCCATGGCGAGGGAACGGTGGGCGATGCCGCAGTTTTACGACGCCATGACCGGGGACTCCAAGTTGGTGGCGAGAGTGATGGTTTCCGACTACTGCAGAGACGTTTTCCGAGGAGTGGGGTCGCTGGTTGATGTCGGCGGCGGCACCGGGATCATGTCCGCCGCCATTGCCGGGGCTTACCCGAACATCAGCTGCACCGTGTTTGATCTGCCCGAGGTTGTTGCCGACTCCCGGGAGGCTCGAGCTATCGGTCTTCCCAACTTGGAATTTGTTGGAGGGACGATGTTCGAGAAAATTCCACATGGGGACGCAATTCTCCTCAAGGTATTGTATTGGGCTATCAATCAATTATCTATTTACCAGTACTGAGTTCTATGGTATTCACGGTATGGGTTCAACACTTCAACATATAACAATTATGAAAACGCTATACAGATTTCAAATTAACTGATGTTTCAGACATGATACAATACTCTAATCATTAAATATTAAAATCTAGATTTTGATTATCTACATTTATACCCAACATAAGTTTAATTAGAAACAATAATTAAGATATGCGATATCCTATATTTCACCCTGGATACTATACAAACAACTATATATATTCTTATTTTTCTTTCAATCATTTCTACAAAATTTACATTTTTAGGCCATCTTATTAACTAATAAAATAATAACTTGCTTTTTAAGTATATGACGTATCTTTTAATACAATGTCCTTCATTTCATTAATTCAATTCATCAATTATGCAGTCTTGTTAATCATTTATTCTGCTATGGCAAAAAAAAAATCATTTATTCTGCAGTAATTATTGTAATAAATAAATTCTTGATTTTTTAACCAAATTAAGGTGATGATATTTAACCAAAAAAAAAACAAAAGGCGACTAGACAAATATATATCCCTCGGGACCAGATATAACCATTTCTCCTTTTTTTTAAACAAAAATTCTGGCATATTATATGTTTTTCATCCATGATAATTACGTAAATTTATTTATGTCGATGTACATCACCTATGTGTTTCCCCCAATGTCATCAATCGCAGCAATCTATTAACCTTTTTCTTTGTACATGATTTAATCATCATATCAATTACCGGTTATTTTACTGTTGTGAAAATTCAAAGTTCTTTTCCATATTAATTATGGTAAATATAATATCATAGACACTTTTTCTTTGTACATTATTTAATCATCATATCAATTACCGGTTATTTTACTGTTGTGAAAATTCAAAGTTCTTTTCCATATTAATTATGGTAAATATAATATCATAGACATCATGATCTGTTCTTTTTGTTACACCGTGCGACGGAGAAACTTAGCCCTTGTTCATTTCATCTGATAATGATGCCGGCAGTGGGTCCTTCACAACTGGGACGACGAGAACTGTGTGAAGATTTTGAAGAACTGCAGAGAGGCAGTGTCGTCGAGCGATAAGAACAATAGAGGAAAGGTGATATTGATAGACATGGTGGTCGAGATTAATCAAATTGTTGCCAACGACAAAGACTTTTCCCAAGTACAGCTCTGCTCCGATTTGCTGATGATGTGCCTGGTCAACGGCAAAGAACGAACTGAAGCTGAATTCAACAATCTGTTCATCACTGCTGGGTTTAGTGGCTACAAAATCGTACGTGCACTTGGCCCAAGATCGATTATCGAAGTCTATCCATGATTGTTTGTTGTTCCTCCTTTACTTTGTTTTCCTTTTGGTGGAAATGTTGTGTTGTGTCTGTTGTGTGAAGATAGTCGTCCCTGTTCCTCATTCACAATGTTATAAACGCGCTGCTACGGATCAGGAAATCGCTAGATCAGTGCATACCATAACATACATCAAGCTACCTACTATACTAGCATATGAGATTCTCGACATATACTCCTTATCACCCTCTGACTGTGGTGCATAAGCTGAGGATAGATGAATATTTGAAGCACTAGGAGTATTTAAGGGCTTTGCTGAAGATATGCCAAACCTCGACAATATCTTCTGGATGTAGCTCTTCTGTGACAAGAAAAGCTTCTTCTTGGACCCGTCCCTGTAAATCTCTATACCCAAGATCTTATGAGCAGCTCCCAAATATTTCATTTCAAACTCAGCACTGAGAAGCCCCTTTAACTTTTGGATATCAGACTTCGACCTCGCAGCTATGAGCATATCATCCACTTACAAAATTAGATATATCATCGAACCATCCTCTGCCTTGTTGTGATACACACAACAATCATATGGACTTCTGTTGTAGTCCAGCTCAAGCATGTAACTGTCAAATCTCTTGTACCACTGCCTCGGAGATTGCTTAAGTTCATACAAGGACTTTTTCAGCTTACAAACATAGTCTTCCTTTCCTGGAACCGGGAATCCTTCTGGCTGAGTCATATAAATTTCTTCCTCCAACTCTCCATGTAGGAAAGCTGTCTTCACGTCTAGCTGCTCGAGCTCCAAGTCATAATGCGCCACTATTGTTAGTAGCACCCTGATGGACGTATGTCTGACTACTGGTGAGAAAATCCTATTGTAGTCAACTCCTTCCCTTTGCGAGAAGCCTCGTGCAACCACCCGAGCTTTAAATTTAATGCCCTCTTCAGACCGATTCCTTCCTTCTTCTTGTAGATCCACTTGTTTGTAACAATTTTCCTTCCTTGTAGTCGTTTGACTAGCTCCCAAGTCTAATTCCTGTCATGGGATTCCATCTCATCTCCCATTATGGCAAGCCACTGATCAGCTTCACCACCCAAAACTGCTTCTCTATAGGACTGTGGCTCTCCTGCATCCACTTCTTCATCAATATGAAATGAATACGCCACCATGTCCTCGAAGCCATACCTCTGTGGAGGTACTCCTGCAGTCGCTCTCTTCGGTCTACCGGAAGCAATAGACTATTGAGCTCATGCACTGGACTCTAAAGTTTCTAGCTCTGCAGAGACATCTTCATCATGTTGATCTTCACCTTGGTGCTCAAACTCACTCTCTTTGAGAGTTTACAGCTCCACCTATTTATCAACATTCATGCTACCTTCAACAACAATAACCTTCAACATGGGGTTAAACATAGACTTCTCATCAAATATCACATTTCTACTGAGTATAACTTGATGCTCAGAATGTGACCAGACTCGAAATCCCTTAACTCCATCTCCGCAACCCACAAATACACCCTTCTTTGCCCTTGGGTTCAGTTTACCCTCATCCACATGATAATAAACAGGACACCCAAAAACTTTCAGTGAAGAGTAATCAGCAGGCTTCCATACCACACTTCATAAGGAGTCTTAAACTCGATACCTGTGTGAGGTCCATGGTTGATCAGGAAGCACACCATGTTTACTGCTTCTGCCCAGAATCTTCTCTCTAGTCCAGCATTAGAGAGCATGCTGAGGTGTATCTCTAACAGTCCGACTACGAGCAATCCCTTCATCCTTGCATAATTCGTTGAACTCAGAATTGCAGAACTCCAGATCATTGTCCGTTTGCAGCTTCTTGATCTTCTTCCCGATTTGATTTTCCACCAATGTCTTCCACTGCTTGAACTTCGTGAAAACCTCACTTTTCTGCTTCATCATGATAATCCAATTAAATCTCGAATAATCATCAATAATAGACAGAAAATACATGCTGCCTCCAATGGATTCAACTCGTGAAGGACCCCGATAGTCAGAGTGGAGGTAATCCAGTATCCCCTTCGTCCGGTGGATACCCTTCTTGGGAAACTTGCTGCGATGTAGCTTCCCAAACACACAATGCTCGTAGAATTCCAAATTCCGCACCTTGTCCCGCAAAGAAGATCCCTCTTCGATAGAACTTGCATCCCTTGTTCACTCATATGCCCCAATCCCATGTGCCAGAGAATGGTCATATCTTCCTGATGAATCTGAGACGATGCAACTGCAGCAGAACCAGACAACACATACCCTTGTAATGCATACAAGGTCCCACGCTTCACGCCCTTCAGCACCTTCCTTGAACCTTTGCAGACATACACAACTCCACATTTTCCTTTGAAGCTAAAACCCTTGCTGTCGAGTAGACTCAAGGAGATCAGGTTCTTTGTCATTCGTGGAACATGTCTGACATCATTCACGGTACAGAACCACCATCTATCTTCTCGTAGGTTGTGAAGAAATCCCTATTCGGAGACATATGGTATGAGGCTGCAGTATCCAGAAACCACACATCCCCACGATGTGCCTTTTCATCTACAGCCAAGGCGAGATCGTCTTCAGAACTGTTGTCCACTTCTGCATCGGCAACTGAACCTTGTTTCTTCTGTTGCCCTCTTCTCCAGGGACAGTTGTAATTCCAATGCCCCACTTCCTTACAGTTGTGACAAGCATCATGTGGTTGTGGACCGAGACCCTTGAAATTCTTGTTCGAATTCCCTTTACCAGATTTCTTCTTTCCCATCCCACCTGTAACAGCCAAACCCGATGCCTCACCACCTGTACCAGATCCGGACGCCTTATGCCTGATCTCTCTCGTATGAAAAGCAGACCTGACATCCTCCAACAACACGCTTTCTTTAACGACAATAAAAGAATCAACGAAATTCTCATATGAACTCGGCAAAGAAACCAACAAGATTAGGGCAACATCCTCGTCATCAACTTGAACATTTATATTATGCAGATCCAGCAAAATAGAGTTAAGTTGTTCGAGATGTTAGCTCAAAGGCGTACCTTCTTGCATCCTCAAGCTGAACAACCTTTGCTTGAGATGCAGCTTGTTGGTTAAGGACTTTGTCCAAGGCGTACCTTCTTGCGTACCTTCTTGCTAAGATGCCTAACAAGTTTGGACCGAGGTTGTAAATACCTAAGTTTATTTTCTTAATCGACTGACTACCAGGTTAGTGAAAGACAAAACACCATTTGAGGCATAACATGGTTACAAACCTAGTTTGCACCATCTCAAGATCTTTGGTTTTGGTTCAGTGTGTTTTGCACATTTTCCATCTCCAAAAAGGGACAAGTTGGATAATAGATTAGAAATGGGGATCTTGGTGGGCTATAATACTGAATCCAAAGCCTACAAGATTTTGAATCCAACTACTAAAAAGTTCCAGTTAAGTAGGCACATTATCTTTGATGAACATGCAAGTCATAATTGGTCCTTGAATGAAGGTGAAGGTGAAGGCATCTATGATATGATCACATCTCAGTTTGAACCAGAACCGCATGTTGACCAAAAATAAGAAATTCAAGAGCCTAATCATCCTGGTGGCCTGGAACCTAACAAGGAAGACCAAGTGATGATGAAGATTATGAGTCTGATGAAGAACCTTCCGTGAGAGTGTAATATGAGCACTAAACCTGATACTGTAGAGGAAGCTTTAAGACATAATGGATGGAATTCTGCAATGAAGGAGGGGTTCAAAATGATTGTGAAAAATGAGACATGGATCCTTGTTAAAAGACCAATTGGAAAGAAAGAAATAAGAAACAAATGGGTTTTCAGAATCAAGTTGAACCCAGATGGTTCTATTAACAAGCTGAAATCCAGGCTAGTTGTGAAGGGCTATGATCAACAATGGGGAATTGACTATGGAGAGACTTTTTATCCAGTAGCAAGGTTAGACACAATCAGACTGTTGTTGGCTATAGCTGCTTAAAAAGAAATGGAAAGTGCATCAGCCAGACGTCAAGTCTGCCTTCCTAAATGGCTATTTTCGGGAGGAGATATATGTTGAACAACTTGAGGGTTTTGAAGTTCCTTGTGAAGAGGACTCAGTTTATCTGTTAAAGAAGGCTCTTAATGGCCTGAAGCAAGCTCCAAGAGCTTGGTATTCTAAAATTGATGAGTATCTCTTGCATCTTAGATTTGCCAAAAGTCCTAGTGAACCAACACTGTTTGTGAGGAACAACAGTGAAGGAACTATAATGGTTTCCTTATATGTTGATGATTTGCTGGTTTTAGGATGTGATGAGAAGCAGATAGAAAAGTTCAAGATCAGCATGCTTAAGGAATGTGAAATGACAGATCTTGGACAGATGTCTTACTTTCGCATTCAGATTGATCAGACTGAGGAGAGCATTTTCATAAATTAAAAGAAATATGACAAATAGATATTGAAGAAGTTTGAGATGGAGAATTCCAAGTCTACTCCAACACCACTACCTGTACGAATCCAACTCACTAATGAAGATGGTTCAGGACTGTTTGAAGCCAAGGTTTATCAAAGCTTAATTGGGTGCTTGATGTATCTTTCTGCAACCAGACCAGACATAAAGTTTGCCTTGGGTTGTTAGCCAGATTCATGCAAGCCCCAACTCATTCACTACAAGATAGCCAAAAGCCTGTTGAGGTACATCAAGGGTACCATTGATCATGGATTAATGTTCAAAAGTGGAAAGGAAGTGTGTTTGGAAGGTTAATATGACTGAGCTGGATCTTCAGAGGACATGAAAAGCACCTCTGGATTCACTTTCACACTAGGATAATCTATTTTTTTATGGATCTCAAAGAAGCAAAGCATTGTAGCTCAGTCAACTATAGAAGTTTAGTACATTGCTCGTTCTGAAGCAGTGAATCATGCAGTTTGGTTAAGAAAAATTATGGAAGATTTGAGTTTCAAGCAAATGCAACCAAGTGTCATTAATTGTGACAATCAATCTGTAGTTGCAATGGCCAAGAACCCTGTGTTCTATGGTAGTACTAAGCACATCAAGATCAAGTACCATGTT